TGTATGCTTCTAAATGTGCTTTTGTATGTGTAAGTGTATGATTTGAGCATGTGTTTCAGTGAGTGTATTAAGAGTGGCAGTACTTACTTAAGGCAGAATCGTCGCTCTATATATCTGAAACAGATATAAGGTTATAATGCTGAAATACTGCATGGTCACAGTACATTACCCTATAATTCAGGAATAATGGATAACTTACATTATTATTATTATTTTTTGTTTTGTTTTTTGTCTGTGAGGCTGAAATGCAACTGGTCTCTCATGAGGATGAATGGCTGAATTACGTAATAGTATTTCAACACCATTATTCCCTGATGAACGGTGCTGTAGAGGCTCTTTATAGGCGCTATTGTTTAAAGACTCACCAGATGATGACTGTGGCGAGCATGACGAGGCCGAGGGCAGTGAGAGAACGGCGCGAGGCCGCTGGTGTGATTGATAATGAGCGACACCTGCGTGATGCACCGGTCTCGTATCTCTCACGGAGTCATGGAGAAGCGGAAGAATAAAGGGGGAGCGACGACAGTGAAGATGGAGAGAGGGCCAGGCCTGGATTGATGATGTGTTTTGTTATATGTGACAGCAGGGAGGGGCTGCTGTCTTTACTTTCATTTTGTATGTGTTTATTTTACGTTTATTAAAGTCTTTGAATGTTCGCTGTTCCGCCTATTTCCTACAACATACCCTCGTTATGCTTTTATGCTCCCACTCCTCCGTGAGAGATACGAGACTGGTGCGTCGCGGAGGTGTCGCTCATTATCAATCACGCCACCGGCCTCGTGCCGTTCTCTCACTGCCCTCAGCCTCGTCATGCTCGCCACAATCCATTTCTCAGTTTACCGGGAATAAGAAAAAAGTTTTTTCTTATTCCCGAAACTGGCAGTGAAACACAAATTCAACCATTTAAAAAGATGTAGGATTTTTATTATAAAATTAACAAATACACTTTAATATAATAATGTATTAACAATGAACAAATACACTATATTAACATTTATTAACAACACAATTTTTAAACCACAAAATAACAAGTAAATTGTATTTACTGTATGTGATTAAAATAAAAACATCATTCTCTTTCACACACAAACACTAAATAAATTCCTTTTGCAAATGTCAAGTCACCATTAAATATATAGTGCTATTTACAGTAATGTCTGTTTCAAAGCAGCTTTACAGGGTTAAACGGGAAAATGATCAATGATGCAAACAGAGTTCAATTTGACTGTAAAGCTGCTCTAAAAAGAAAATAGTGTCATTGTTCAGCTGAATTCAGTTCAGTGTTGATTCAGTTCTGTTCAATAACTGTATAAAGTATATCAATTATAAAAAGAGTTCATTTTCATTATTAAGCAGCTCTGCAGAAAACAGTGATGTCATAGTCCAGCTCAGTTCAGTTTCTCATATAATGGTGTCAATGCAGGCAGATCAATAATATTAAGAATAAGTGTCCCCAAGCAAGCCAGAGACAGGTGACAGAATGAAGAAAGAAAAACAGGCTCAGTTGGGGGGCCAGTTCTCTTCTAGCCAAACAACGAACATGGTGTGTTAGGATTCCAGGCTGCTTCACAAGTCAGATTGTGGATTGATATCATTCAGTGTAGAGTATTTTATTCAGCTCCTTTTGCTTGAAGATTGGAAAAGATTACATCAAGGTAAAAGAGTAGCAAACTCAAGAGCATGTAGATGTGAATTAGAGAACTTGTACGATAAATATTTATACTTGTAAGTTGTACAATAGAATTTACACTCACAGCTCCAATGTGAAAACCTCAATTAGGCATTTGCAACTTCTCAAATCTGACAATGCAATTTTCTAAATTGTCCCGCCTTTCTCTCTCACCGTCACTCAGTTTGCAAGTGCACAAGTTAGTTACGCATCTAATATATTGCGGAAATAGTTGCAAAGTCAATGCGTGAAGATTAGAAATAGCAATGGCAGATTTGAGAAGTTGCAAATGCCTAGGTTGTACTGCGAATGTGAATGAAAGAAAACAAGTTTGTGTATGTCATTGTATTTCTGTGAATGGCATTTTACACATTTGTGACTACTTGTCTGCAGCTTCAAATTCAGAATACAGGTTTGTGACTATTGTCTTCGAGTGAAACTCACAACATTCAACAGGTTTTCAAGTACAAATATTTATTGTACAAGTTCTCAAATTCCCATCTACATGCTCTGAAGTTTTCCTACTCTTTTACCTTCATAAGATCACGCCGGCGTTGGTGGGTGGGGAGTTGAAGCTGGCCGTTGGGTGTTATATTGGAGCTTTTTGCCTGTTCGCCTTTCTTACACCACACTGTGACAAGGCGTTTGTTTCTAGGTCTCATCTAGTTGTGATGTTCTCGTCTGGCATTCAGGGCTGTTGTGGTCATCTTAGGGTACAGGTCCACCATCTGGTCAGGATGTGGGCTAGACCCGGTTGACTACAGTAGCCTAACCTTGAATGAGACAGAGACTAACATTAGTGTAGATGCCATTCTTCTTACGATGTAAAAAGTAGCTGCATTCGGTGTTATGGGAAGTGTTTTGGGTTCTGGTTGACCTAATTTATGCAGCCTAACAATCCTTTAACGGATGTGAATTATAGAAATGTGAGAGTCTCTTATGTTTATGCTAGGTTAAAGAGGTGTGTTTTTAATATACATTTAAACTTAACTTGTGTCTGCCCCTCGATCTGCTGCCAGTTGGAGGCTGAAGCCACCAGTTCATGGATCCCTCGATCTCCATTTCAGCAGCATTAGCCATGAGGGTTTCTCTGAACTGCATATTTTAAATAAAGCAATAGATATTGTGAGGTCAATATTAAATCTTAACCATTAGTTTTTTAAGCACATAGGTTTGACAAATGTTGTTGCCAGAGTTCACGCAGCAGTTTAAAATATCAGTAACACTTTACAATAAAGTCTCATTTGTTAAACTACCATTTTAACAACATTATACAGTGATATATATATAAGTGATATATGCCTATACACTTTAATATTTTTCTTTCACTCTGAAGTGCACCTGCTCTAAAGCAGATTACTACGGAGCCCTTAAAGGGACGTGGTGGTGGAAAAAAAATTAGGATGGGAGAAATTTTTTCCCCCAAATCTTTTGCGTTCCCCCGAGAAACTTTGGGTTCCCTCGCAAAACTCTTGCGTTCCCCCGAGAAACGTCTCGGTTACTAACGTAACCTCGATTCTCTCTAGAAGAGGGAACGAGTGTTGCTATGCTACGGGAAAACCTCTTTTCTCGAGAATACTGAAGCCAAAAATTATCCTTATAATTTGTATTAATTTAAAACGCATTTGCTGCAGCTCACGAGGCAGCTCGCGCGCCTATTGGCTGCTCTGAGGTAACTGCTGCAAACCTATCGAGGGACTGCTCGTGACGTAAGCACCAATAAGGGCGCTGGATTCGTCATGTCCCGCACGAATGGGCTTGGCTTATGCCTATATAAGCCAGAGCTCGATAGGATGCTGTCACGGTTCATAAATCTTATGTCTCCTTCTTGTCTCGTGTTTCTGTTGTTGTGTGTGTGTGTGCTGATTATGTGGGGGTGTCGGCTCATCAGCGATCAACTCATCACTCCCGTCACCAGCTGCAGCTGCAGCTCATCTCATCATGTATATATACTAATCACTTTCTCATCTCCTTTGTCAGATCGTTGTTTGTGGTTTCCCGGTGTGAGTTCCAGTCAGCGTCTCGAGTCTTGTGCATTCCCTGTTCCTGTTCGTGTTTCTGTGGATTTACTTTGGATTCATCTCACCGCTGGACTCTCTTCACCGCACTGCTGCACTCTCTGCACCTAGTTCATCTGCGCCACTAACCTGTCTTCTCTGGACTTTGACTAATTACTTTGTCAATATTACAATAAAGAGTTTTACTTGCATTTTGCTTACTTCTATCAATCATGACAGATGCTCCTTGGTTTTCATCAACTGAAGCGAAACCAGATGGTAGCACAAGCACGGCAGGGTTACGCAACACTCGTTCCCTCTTCTAGAGAGAACCGAGGTTACGTTAGTAACCGAGACGTTCTCTTACGAGAGAACTCTCGTGTTGCGTAAGCTAGAATGCCGTGCGTGCTAAATCTACCACAACACTGACCCAAGGGCGAGTGCCCTGAGCAGGATATGATATGGGGATATAAAAAGCTTTTTATACCTTAAGTGAACAAGGGTGCTTAACACTGTATAACAGCCAGAGGAGGCATTAGCGTGCCTGAACTGAAACTTTGCAGTTTCCGGAAGCGAGTCCGGCAGAACTGAGTAGATTAACTAGACTGATAACAATCTAGCTTGAAGAGCGGGAACTTTCTAGATTATAGAACCTTATAAATGTAGACGGAGAGGCCCAGCCTGCCGCCATACAGATATCTTGAAGAGAAATCCCACTGGACCAGGCCCACGAAGAGACCACGCCTCAAGTGGAATGAGCTCTGATGCCCAGAGGGCAACGAAGGCCCTTAGATGCATAAGCCAGTGAGATAGCGTCCACTATCCACCTGGAAAGGCTATATTTCGAGGCAGCTAGACCTTTAGATCGGCCACCAAAAGAAACAAAGAGCTGTTCTGACTGTCTGAAAGCAGCCGAACTTTCCACGTAAATTCTCAGGGCCCTAACTGGGCAAAGGAGATTCACATCAGACTTGCTGTCAGATCCGGAGAGGGCTGACAGGGAAATGACTTGCGCTCTGAAAGGAGTGGCAAGTACTTTGGGGACATAACCATGTCTCGGTTTGAGAATGACCTTGGAGTCATTAGGCCCAAACTCAAGGCACGACGCACTAACAGAAAGTGCGTGTAAGTCACCCACCCGCTTGACTGAGGCAATAGCCACCAGAAAGGCGGTTTCCAACGAGAGATACTTAAGGTCAACAGACTGTAGAGGTTCAAAAGGGGCACCCTTTTGAAAAGATCCCATACGGGAACCGAGGGGGGTCGAGGAGGGTTCATCCTTCTAGCTCCCCTGAGGAAGCGGACTACAAGGTAGTTCCTACCCAGTGACTGACCGTGTGAATGTTTGACAAATGCAGCAATAGCCGCCACATACACCTTGAGCGTAGATGGGGATCTACCCTTATCCAAAAGCTCCTGTAGGAAGGAGAGAACCTCCGATACCCCACAATCTTGTGGATCCAGGTTGCGAGCTGAGCACCAACCTGAGAACACTGACCACTTGGAAGCATAAAGCCGTCTAGTAGAGGGCGCTCTAGCTTGCATAATCGTGTTTAACAACCCGTCCGGGATATTGACGGGTAGCCGTTGATGGCCCACACATGTAGAGCCCAAAGCTCGGGGTGTGGGTGCCAAATCGTGCCCCCGGCCTGTGAGAGGAGATCTCTCCTCAACGGGACAGGCCATGGAGCCAGGCTCTGAAGCTGCATCAGCTCCGGAAATCAAACTTGGTTTGGCCAGAACGGAGCTACTAGAAGCACAGAGGAACCGTTCTCCCTGATACGCTTGATTACCTGTGGTAATAGCGTGATCGGCAGGAAAGCATAGAGATGGCGGCTGGGCCAGTGATGGGCCAGCGCGTCCTTGTTCTTCGTAAAGCATATTGGACTCTGAGCGTTGTATTGAGACGCAAAGAGGCCGACTTCCGCTGTGCCAAAGGTGTCCCACAACAGCTGAACTATCTGAGGGTAGAGAGACCATTCCCCTGGGGAAACGTTGTCCCTGGACAGCCTGTCTGGACCCACGTTCAGATGGCCTGGCACATGCGCCGCTCTCAGCGAGAGCAGGTTGCGCTGAACCCATACAAGGAGGCGTTCTGCCAGTGCATGAAGGTTCCGTGATCTCAGACCGCCCTGGCGATTTATGTAGGAAACCACCGACATGTTGTCTGTACGGACAAGGACATGGTGGCCTTTTAGAAGGGGAAGGAAGAACCGCAAGGCGTTCTCGACCGCCTTCATCTCTAGACAGTTTATGTGCAAGCTCTTCTCTTGGCCTGACCACAGGCCAAAAGTCGGTCTGACTGAATTGGAGGCGTCTGTCGAAACCACTTTCAGTTTTGAGATTAGCCCCAGGTTTACACCTGTCTGATACCAGCCGATCGCCTTCCAGGGCTCCAGAGCTGTGACACAGTTCTGAGTTACCCGCGTCTTTAGCCAGTGCTGTAAAGGGCGCGTGTGAAGCAGGCCTAAACGAAGCACCGCTGAGGTGGAAGCCATGAGGCCTAGAATCCTCTGAAATCTTTTGAGAGGAGAGACATCGCCTTCTTTGAATGACATCGCCAAGCGCTGCATACACAGAGCGCGCTGTGACGTCAGCCACGCTGTCATTGACACAGAGTCCAGATCCATTCCCAGAAAAGAAGCTTTCTGACTGGGAGATAGCGAACTCTTGGTCCAATTAACTTTGAGGCCCAGAGCCTCCAAATGGCTTAGTAATAAAGCCCTGTGTGTCATAAGTTCCACCTCCGACTGGGCCATAATCAGCCAGTCGTCCAAATAGTTCAGTATTCGCATACCCTGTGGGGCGAGCACTGTGTCCATGCACCTCGTAAATGTACGAGGTGCTAAGGACAGGCCGAACAGAAGGACGGTGTACTGGTAAGCCTGACCAGCCTGATCTTTCAGATCCACTGATATGAACCAGTCCCTCGGGCGAATTTGCGCGAGAATTTGTCTGGTTGTAATCATTTTGAACGATCGCTTCATGAGAGCTCTGTTTAAAAGCCTGAGGTCTAGAATGGGTCTGAGACCGCCATCCTTTTTGGGTACCAGGAAGTAACGGCTGAAGAAACCCGACTCGCTCTGGTCTAGAGGGACGGTTTCTATGGCGCCCTTCAAGTACAGTTTCTCGGCTTGAAGCAGATGAGCTACTTTCTGATCTACTGTAGTTTCGATCCGGGCTCGAAAGCGGGGGGGTCGGCGAGCGAACTGCAGTGAGTAGCCTCGTTTTATAATGTTCAGCACCCAATCTGACACGCTCGTGATAGCTTCCCATGCTTTTGCACGTATAGCTAGGGGTAGAATGGTATCTGGGTTCTGGTCGCTGTAAGCTAGGGACCGGGAGACCTGATAGGGCTGATAAATTGACACTGTGCTTGCAGTGTTTATCTGAGGCAGCGAGCTGAGACCAGCAGCGGGATGATTTACACATAACATTCTGGGGGAATGATTTATGTGTGTGCGTGGCACAGAGGGCACGGTGTTTAACAGTAAGCGTGCGTGCTGAGAAGCGGGCACCTTCTTTACACTTAAAACACAATCGGCATGAACCGCCTTTATTGAAACAGGCCCTGAATGAGTGTGTGTCACTGAGTGGGTCGTGCTTATGTGTAGGGGTGAACACTGGGACGTGGGCACATTTCCTACATTTAAAACACCTTCGGCGAGAGTCGGATAAACAGACATAATGCTCTTTTTGAGATTTATCTGGGTCGCCGTGAAAACGGCGTTTGGGTACAGGCGAGCGGGTTGTGCAACTGGCTTGTTGGCTGTGGAATACACATCTCCAGTCACCGCAGCCTCGGGAACTGTGAGAGCGACACGTGCTGACTTCAAAGGCGGTCTGGCCGCAGCGGGACTCGACCTTCGCCGTCTTTCTAGAGTCAGGAAGATTTTGGTGGCACAGGATCCAGCGTGATCTTGGGCCTGGGTCCCCGAGGAGGGGGCGGCCTGCGGCGGCCAGCCGAGCTTGAGTGTTGGTGCTCTCTTGGTCGCTGACGCTGAGAAGCTGGTGGCGGAGGCAGCGGGGAGGCTGTTTTCTGGGCAGGCAGCTGTTTCCTAGAGCGTCCTGACGCGGAAGTCGAGCGTCGAGGGATGAAGTGCGGCATAGCCTGCGACGTCTTCCGGACCTCTGAAAAACGCTCCACAAAGCCATCGACAGCTTGTCCGAAAAGCCCGGAAGGAGACACAGGCGCGTCGAGGAAGGAGGCTCTGTCAGCGTCCTCCTATATATCCGACAGCGTCAGCCACAAATGTCTCTCGACAACAGTGAGGGACGCCATGTTCCTCCCGATGGCCTGGGCGGCGGACTTGGTGGCTCGCAGAGCTAGGTCTGTGGCGCTCCTCAAGTCCGTGAAGCTGTCAGGGTCCGTGCCAGCCTCGTGCAAGGAACGGAGAAGGTTAGCTTGGTATATCTGCAGCACTGCCATAGTGTGGAGTGCTGAAGCGGCCTGTCCAGCGGCGGCGTAAGCGCGACTGATGAAGGCGGAAGTAGTTCGGTAGGCTTTAGAAGGCAAGGTGGCCTTAGAATGCCATCCAGCGGAGGGCGGGCAAAGGAGCGTTGCGATCGCTTCCTCAACCGGAGGAATGGAAACATAACCTTTGTCCTACGCGCCGTCCACAACGGAGAGCGTCAAAGAGACAGAAGATCGCAGCCTGGCCGAAAAAGAAGCCTTCCAAGATTTAGAAAGCTCCTCGTGCAGCTCGGGGAGAAATGGGCCTCTTGGGGGCCTCTTGGGAGGCCTCCCAAGAGGCGGGCCTCTTGGGAGGCGCTGCGCGGCGACCAGGGAGAAAGCAGCCGTCGAGTCTGTTGGGTGCGGGCTCATCGGGCAGCGACCAATCCAGTCCTCCACGGCCTTCGTGAGGAGGCGGAGAAGTTCGGCGTCGACGCTGGCTCTAATTCCACTGGACTCCTGAAGAGAAGGGGCGGGGACCGGACCGGAACTGCGCAGACTCAAGTTCCAAGATGTCAGCGCCATATCGGGATACTGGCGGCTTCACTTCTGACCAATGGAAGAGAGCAAAGGGGCGTCGTCCATCTTTTTTTACAGTCTATGGTTTGAACTTGGACTCAAATATAAAGAAATGCGGTCAGTGCTTAACTCAAGGAGTTCAGTGAAGTTGGCAATATATTCACATAGGCTATTCAAACTTCCCGGATCAATATTCTTGAGCTAAACGTTGTTAAAACACAAACGACACCTATTTACAATCATAGTAACCTAGACAACGAGCTACAACCCAATTCTCCTCAAAACAAGCTTTATAATATAGGCTAAATGGATCGCAAAGTTTCTCGGGGGAACGGAGGGAATGCAAAAGATTTGAAAAAAAAAAAGTTTTTCCACCACCAAGTCCCTTTAGGGGCTCCGTAGATTACGTTTCATTCAAGAACACAAGACGTGCCAAAGACAATGAATCAAGAAGCTGCACTTATTTAGCAGCTTCTCCTAAACTGTAATTTTCCGTTTCGTAGTTCACCACAGGAGTGTTGAAACAAAATAAATCGTATTTTTAATTTCAGATTGTACACGTTGTCTCCGTGGGTGTAATGCATTAACAGCGTGGTGATCAGTGTAGTTCGATTCACAAATAAATTACTCTTTTGAAAGGTTAGTGAATCACAACAGAAAGAGTCGCCTGTATAGAGAACTAGGCGCCGAAAGCGTAGTCCGACTCCTATGATTCGATAACTAATCACTCGTTGAAAAAGACTAATTGACTGACTAAATTTTAGCAAACAAAATGGAAAATAACTCCATTTCATTTCATTAGCCAACATTTCAGTGCACTGGATACAGCACAGCAGTTTTTATAATAAAAAAATACACAATCATCTTAAAAAGAGACCGTAGGCCTTCTCATCAACACTCTCTCCAGGACCCAATGGGTATTCTGACGTTACGTAATAATTATCATCGCAAACATCTAGATATTAAAATATATATTTTTTTTATCTTGATAATTAAAAACATCAAACAACAATAGAACAATAAATGAATTAAATTACTTACTTGTTTTTTCAGCTGAATGATTCCTCTCGAAAACGATGGTCTGTGTCTGCAGGATCTTCCTCAGGATTTAAATGAACCGCCAAAACCTTTTTTCAGAGTTCCTTAATTCTAGTAGTGGCCCGCTTGTGACAAAACGAACTCGGCCCGATGGTAAATACTGTCTATGGTAAATACACCCACACTGAGTATGGACCTGACAGCAGTATCTCTACAACTGCTTTCAGCCGATACTGGCCCATACAGAAAAAGCCGTCAGTCAGCCAGATCTGTTATGCAGAGTTGGCACGGATCTGGCCCATTATCTGTTCACCGATGCCGACAGTGAGCCAACAGTGACGCATTTCATCCGGAATCGGCCCAACTGTGCTTGCTATCTGATAATGTCCAAAAGTAGGCCTACATTTATTTCGATTAAAACGATTATAAAGTACTTGTAAAAACATATGTTTAAAGTTTAGGCTATACGTTAACACTCAATACAGCACAAACAAATCTGACATGCTAGCAAGGCCACTGATCCGTGTCAGTGATCGTTTTATTATGTTATGAATGGTGTAGCTATGAACTGCTTGGTGTAGGCTGATTTATAGAAATCAATTACCGTAATGAGTAATGTAACCAATGTGAAGCAGGCTATCCCGTTCATTTCTAGAAGTAGGCTAATATCTGATTA